ACCTCTCTACTCGGAACTTGCCAAGCGAGTGCCCCACCGCCGTATCGGCCCTGTGGCTTTCTACGATTCGGTACATATTCGTGTAACCCCTCTATTACACAAAGGCCCCAAGATCTTTCAGTTCTAACGAATTGGTACGACCACAGTTACAGAGTCTCAAGTTTTCCCGGCCATGGCGTTAGTTACCGAATCTGTTTTTCGAAATTCAATTTTCGTCTCTAGTGGGAATTGAACTTGAACTCAACCGCTTGGAGGTGCGACAACTTCACCACTTCACTAAGTCGCCACACCTCTATCACTTCTTTTAATATTTTCTTATCATATGCTTTCTAAAATAAAAATAAACTTGGTTTGCTTTTAAAGCTTTATATAATAAAAGCTAATTTAAAAAAATTATTAACAAATTCTATTGCAGTAAGTTTTTTACAATCTATGATAATGCCTGTCGCTGACTTTATATTTATATCATTCTTATAGCCAAACTTTGCGCAAATTATCAACATAATTTAGGTTTTTATTTAAAAAAATCTTACTAATTGAACAATTCCAGATTAAACTACATTAAAATTATAGATCTTTCAATTTAATCAATAAATTAATTTTTTGCTTTTATAATTTATGACCCTTGTACTCTATATTAATCTGTTGTTTTTTTCGGGCAAAATATTAAATCTGGCATTTCATATGCTTCATACTTTTTATTATTAGCAGGTTGAACGATAAATGAAATGTATCTAATTTTTTGTTTGTTATGAGATAATCCATAGTAGAGCTTCATATAATGGATTTTTTTCTCGAATACCATAAATACATGAAGATTTTAGTAGTCTGAGATTTAAATTTTTTTTTTAATCTATTTGCAAAAAAATGATACTGCAACCTAAATTTAATATAATATTCAATTTGAACTGTTAATAAATTTTGGAATTGAAATATCTGCAACAAAGAGCAAGACGCACAGTGATTATCCCTGAAAAATATGGCTCAAGTTTTGAAGAGAGCCATGCCAATAAAACTGCTTGTAGTTGTCCTTGAGAGAACAGATCAAGAAAAGGTTTAAAAATCTCCTTGAGATTTTACTTATTCTATGAGTATAATATAATAAAATGATTTGATTTAATTACAAAAATTTTAATGTATTATTTTTTAAGTGTTGTCATTAGAATGAAAATTTGAGTGTTTATGTGGATTTTAATTCTTAAGTTATATTTTAAAATCGAGCTACAAGTTTCAGCATTAGCTGTAACACTAATTGGAATTGATTCTATAATCTATAGATTTAAGTAATCTGTAAATTATTTATATTACCACGAGTTCTATAAATAAATTTGGGTTGTTAAATGAGTATTGTTGGTTTCTTGTACAGTATTTATAATAATTCAATATTCTTGTTCAACCTGTTTTCTGTAAATTTGATGATATCTATATTAATAGAGAATTCTGTTTTTAATCTGTAATTTTGTAAATTTGATACGTATCACAAAATTGGAATTCAGTTAATTAAATTTTTTTTTTAATTGTAATTACGACAAACAATTGAAAGTACAGTATATGAACTAATTAAAGATTCATTCAATACAACTTTTAAAGTATTCAATATTCAATCTTGTATTGATATTAACAACACTAAAAATAAATTTAAATTAAATTTTAATTGTGTACTAACAATTTTTAAATTCTATTAATTAAGCAATTCATGTTCTAAAAATCGTGACTGAAAAAGAAAAAATTCGTTTAAAGAAGCATTTTCATTCTTTAATTATGATCATTAGAAAGTAGCAATTTTAGAAACAATTTTTTTAGCATCAAAATTAATTTAGGTCTGGAATTAGAGCAAAAATAATTAATTTATGTTATTCTCATAAACTAAGTTACAAATTTAATATTGAATTTATGACCTAACGTTAACTTGTCAGTAAACTATGCACTACGTACTTTGTACTCCATTCTTGATAAATCATCTTGTACATTTATCAAAAACAATTTAAATAAAAAAATCAAATTTCAATAAATTATACATACAAAAAAAATTATTTTTTTTGTTTCGAATTATTATTAATTTAGTTATGATAATTAATGTTTAACCTATTATTTTTAGTATAAGTTACAATTGCTTTTGTTTCATTATCAAATTCTAATTTCTTATTTATACTATTACTGTTACTATCTAGAAGATTACAAATATTCTGTCCTATATTTACATTATATATATCATTAAAAGCGACAATATGATAAATTATATTTATATCAAAAAATTTAGTTTCATCTATTTTAAGATTATACACAAAAATTAAAATATCATCTATTCCAATACCAATTATATTTTTGTGATTCGAATCATTTGTAATATAAATACTATTATTTGGTTTATCACATTTCTCCTTAATCAATAAAGGTGATACCTAAAACACAAAATTTCTAATTAATAAATTATTCTTTAAACAAGTCAAAATATCTAATAAAATTTCTCAATCTACTTACTATAATTCTAAATACATCTCCAACATTCGCACTCTTTACTTGTCTAGTAGAATATATATCATCTTTATCATCATAATAACAAATCATAATATTATAACAAACATTCCATTTAATATCCCCAAAAAATTTATCATAATGATCTAAATGAAGTCTTTTCCACCAAACAGTTGTATGATCTAAATAAAGTGTTTTCCACAAAACAGTTATAAAATCAGATTCTGACTGATTTTTGATTTTAGCATAAATTCCAAATACTTGACTATTAAATTCAACAATTTTACAACCACATGATTTTTCAAACTCAGTTTTTTTAAAACGTGAATATGTATATTCAACATAATGTATAATTAAATCTACAACTTTCTAAAATTAAAAATGAAATTAATATTAAATAATTAAAATTAAATATAAAATTTTAAAACATAAGGGATGGGGTCCCGTAGCCTAGTGGTCTAGGCGCCCCTCCTTCCACAGATAAGGTCAACGGTTCAATTCTAGCTGGAGGTAAAAAACTCTGTAATCTACAGAAGCATATAAATGTACACGAAGCCCTGTGGCTAAGCCCATATGAATAGAAGATCAGTGTATAAGGAAGTTCTTGGAAAGAAGTTTTCCAATATGGTGAGTTGGTGCTCGATGTGAGAAAAACGGTGAACATAACAGAAATGGAGAGAAGGCACACTAGCGAGTGATACGGTGAACATAAAAGGAAACTACAGAAAAGGAATGGACTTACTGAAATTTGAACACCTCTGGTATTAAAAACCGGTTTAGTAGATACGGGATATACTAAATTGGATCTAAGTGGTAATCTTGGTACCAGCTTAGTAGCTTGTGTCGAGGGTGAATCGAGGGCTATGGATACTTGGTAACATCCAATAGGGTGGTACCTTGATATAAATAGTAACCAGGTA